AGTGTCCAACTAGTCCCCACAGAACTGGAAAGCAAATAGTGTCCAACTAGTCTCCACAGAACTGGAAAGCAAAGAGTGTCCAACTAGTCCCCACAAAACAGGAAAGCAAAGAGCATTCAACTGGTCCTTCTCTCTCCAAGACTAGAGAGCAAAGAGCATCCGCTTAAACCCCAAAAAGACAGGTGAACACAAAGTATCTGTCTGTACCCCCTCCAAGACTGGAGAACAAAGAAAGTCCACCTAGACCCCACAAAGACAGGAAAGAAAAGAGCATCCATTTAGACTCCTACAAAGACTGAAGGGCATAGAGCATCTGCCTGGACCCTCTCCAAGACTGGACAGCAAAGAGGCTGCATCAAGACCCCCTTGGAACCAAAACTGGTTTAGATAATGTATCCTGAAGCATGCACAATAATCCAGGTAGAAAAATCTAACAAAGTTAAGTCAGGTTCTCTGGACGGATGCTTCTTGTTGAAACGTTTTGTCTTTTAATTCAATTTCAATTCAGTTTATTTATATAGTGCCAAATCACAACAAAGTTGTCTCAGGGCACTTTACAGAAGCATTCACATACATAGAAAACTTTACTAATTGGCCTTTCTATCTAAGGAATCCAGCAGACAAGTTGAATCTTGGCTACGTTGCAGTCTCCCATCCTGAGCAAGCACAGTGGCAACAGTGGATAGGAAAAACTTTTTATTTTTTAATCCAAAAGACCTTGTCAGACTTCAACTGACCAAGTGTTTTGGATAAAAGACGAAACATTTCAACAAGAAGAATCCGTCCAGAGGGTGGAGATCAGCTCAGGCTGAAACAATATGGAGTTTGACTCAGGTGAGTGGTGATAGTTGGGAAGCTTTGGCGCAGAGGCAGAGAGCTTGGCGGAAGCAACGAGTGACTTGGACTCTTTGAAGTGTTGCTTGCCTCAAGAAATTTTGGCTGCTCCCACATTAAGCTCAACTCAGAATGGTCCAAATAAATAATTTACAAAAAAAACATAACA